ACCTATATAGATGGCTATGGTGGGTGAACTGTTAAAGTTAAGCAAGTAACTATTCTATTGGGGACAGGGTGTATGGCCCCAAGGCCTTATACTGTGTGTGTCCCCCATGAAGGAATATATTCTGGGTGTTGATATCCTGCATGGTCTAACCCTAACTACCTCCGTGGGTGAGTTTCACCTCCGAGTTAGGATCATGAAGCGGATGGTGCGTGGCCACCCCCATCACCCACCACAGGTTTTTCCCACACCTCATCACGTGATATGCACCCGACAATATCGTTTTCCCGGGGGACATGAAGAAATTTCACAAACCATATTGCAACTGGAAAAGGCCAGCATAGTGCGTCCTGCTTACAGTCCATTCAACTCTCCTGTTTGGCCGGTTAAGAAACCAGATGGAACTTGGAGAATGAAAGTAGACTATTGGGAACTGAATAAAGTGACTCCCCCATTGCATGTGGCAGTGCTTTCCATACTGGATCTGATGGATCAATTGACTTTGGTTCTTGGGCAGTACCACTATGTGGTGGACCTGGCCAATACTTTTTCTTCATACACATAGCTATGGACAGTCAAGACTAGTTTATCTTCACATGGGAAGGACAACAATGGACATTTGCGGTATTACCACAAGGTTACCCCCACAGCCCAACCATATGTCATGGTTTGGTGGCATAGGACTTGGCCACATGGAGTCACCATCCGTGGTGTACTTGTTTCATTATATTGATGATATAATTTTAACCTCTGATTCCCTTACAGATCTAGAAGAAGCTGCTGCCAGCCTTCAAACCTTGTTGGAGCAATGGGGCTGGGTGGTGAATGACTCCAAGGTCCAGGGACCTGGCTTGTTAGTCAAATTCTTGGGTGTTGTTTTGTCAGGTAAGATGAAAGCAATCCCCAAGGCAGTTATAGATAAGATTCAAGCCTTCCCCCAACCCACTATGGTAAAACAGTTACGAGTGTTTGTGGGGTATTGGTGTATATTCATTCCCTACTTGGCCCAACTGTTATGGCCATTGCATTCATTACGTAACAAGGGGACACAGTGGGACTGGTCCATGGAGGCAAAGCCCTCTTTTATGGTAGCCAAGAGGGCTGTTGCACAAGCCCAGATGCTACAAGTGGTTGACCGCTCACAGCCGTACAGCCATTTGACCTCAATGTGACAGTCAACTCAAGTGGGATGGGCTGAGGTTTGTGGCAGCACCAGCATGAGCAGTGAGTCTCTATTGGGTTTTGTTCCCAGACTTGGAAGGGCTCCCAAGAGCGCTATTCCTTGGTGGAAAAGCAGTTAGTGGCTGTGTATGCCACCCTTCAAGCCTGTGGAGCTATTAACTGGGAAGTCTGAGGTGCTAGTGGGCACCACATATCCCATAGCAGGATGGGTGAGGTCGTGGATAACCAGCCCACAATCAGGAATAGCCCAGATGCCTAATCTGGTGAAGTGGGGAGCTTACTTGGAGCAATAAGCAGAGTTTAGCTCCAGCCCCTTGACTGCAGAGTTGCAGAAAGTATGGGGCCTTGTTGAATTTGTGACTGATGCTGACCTTCAGACCATGGTAATAGCAAGGGAAGAGAGCCTGTACCTTGAAGGACGGGGTCCCCCTCCTGTGGAGGCACAGTATACCAATGGGTCCAGTTGTGGCCCCTGAGCCCAATGGACAGTGGTAGCTGTCCAGTTGGATCATGATGACATTTAGTTTGAAATGGGACAGGGGCAGAGCAGACAATGGGCTGAATTGCATGCCATTGTCATTCACTAGCCATCCCCTTTGCAGGTCTGCACTAATAGTTGGACCATTTTTAAGGGCCTCACTGGTTACCTACATGGAAAGCCTAAGGTTGGCTAGTAGGGCACCGCCCAGTGTGGGTGGCTTTATCTTTCTGCTCGTTGGATGGGAAGGTGCACTTGGGGACAGCCATACGTCCCGTGGAAGGTCCTCCCCACCTTTACCAAGAAGCCACATAATTGGGATGCCGTGTTCTCCTGCTGGCACCAGGTGAAACGGATTCCATGGTGGTTCTACCCAGTAGCCATCTTTTTTCCTGGGGGTGGAGCCATTAAGGTAGAAATAGAAGTGAATGCCCTAGCGGAACATACTTCTTGGGCCATAAGTCAAACCAGGCAGGCCTTGACCCTCCTAGTGGATGAAGTCACCCAAATGAGAAATGTGGTTTTGCAAAAACCTTACTGCTCCTTACTGCAGCTCAAGGGGGCACATGCGCAGTCATACACATTGAATGCTGTACGTATATACCTAACCACCAGGAATATATCTCCTCTGCATTGAAGGAAGTTGATGGTGAGGTAGAGGTCATCCTACAGTTAACTGGAGACCCATTATAACAATGGTGGGGGGAGGAGGGGATGCGTATATGCATACACAAAGAATGCAATGTGCACCATCCAGGGAATGGACATGCTTGAAGCTCGAACTTGGGGGGGGGAGGGGGGAAGGGCACCATACATAACCTAAACATCTGTACCTCCATAATATGCTGAAATAAATAAAAAAAAAACAATGATGGGGACGCCTCTCGTCATTTTGGCTTTGGACCCTTTTAGTGTTAGGCGTCACTTGCTGTAGTCTGGTAATACTATGCTGTTCCCTTTATTGTTGTTATGGCATTTGAGCCCAGGGGGCCTCCTAATGGGCCTGTGTGTGGGCTGTGAAACCTGTTGCCTTGGGGTGGAATGTAAGGGAAAATTCATTTGTATAGGCAATAGGTTTCTTTCCAGGCCCAGCCTTCTGGCAAGCCAGCTTTCTGGTAAGGCATGAGTCAGCACACTTATGTAACCATAATGTCACCTCCTATGTAAAACCCATGTGATCACGCTTTCACTTGGCATGTTGCCACTATTGTTCTGAGCCATATATAAGCGCTCACCATATTCTGCTGTGGCAACATCACCTTGACAATATGTCTCATCTACCTGCTGCCACTCATCTCTTCCTTCAATTCCCAGAACCTGCTCTGGTACCCTTGCTGGCCACAGAGCTCCCTCCCCACAGCACCTGGCACAAAGTCTGGTATATACTGAGTTTTGATGTATTTTAGTTATATTTATTTTGACCCCAGAACCTACCAGTCTCCCCTCTTTTTTGTTTGTTTTATTCTGTTTTGTTCAGAAAATGTCAGAGTATTTGCAGCCCAATAGGATATAGCACATCAAATCAGCCAAAATGTTGCTTAGCAGGTTAAACTAAGTTACTTGCTATAGAACTTTTTTGAGGATATATTATTTATTATCAGTATGAATGAGTCTTACACAGTTTGATGCAACTCAAAGCTCCCGGAAATTTTGTCAAGTTCTATTAATATCTCAGTCCCTTCCTTCCCTCTGCCCTTCCATCCAAACCATCTGTATTTGCAATTATTTTACCCCCATAAAAATCTAGTTTTAGCTTATAGTTTGCCAAATTACATACAAGATCACCTAATTTAAATGCCCATTTAATGGATGGGCTATGCCTCTCCCAGCTTACTGCAAAGATTGCCAGCACAGTGGCTTTTGAGCATTCTGTCTCATAGGAGATCACCATTATTCCTCACTCTCTTATGATAATGTTCATATATCACCTTTTCATCCACTGTGTTCACCTGCACTAAAAGTACAGGACAGTTTCCATTTGTGCCCCAGGTGGAGATTTCCCTCTGGTTTATTCGTGATCTAAAACTAACTGCTAAAAGCAGTTTTTCATCCCAGCCATTAGTCTCTCAACTGTGAAATGCATCATCTGAAATTTTGGCCTCTGCACCCCACCCCCAGATACTCATGTGACCCACCACTCAGCTTAATTTAAATTACCTCACATTGAAGGACTTGAAGTTTCCCAAGGCCCAAAACCCCTTGCCATAGGGTATTTTATACTGCTCATCTGAAACCCCCAACTCCTCATACCTTCTTTCGACTTGTTCTTTTGGTTAAGGATTATCTCACCACTGTGGACTGAATGTTTGTATCCTGCAGAAATTCATATATTGAAGCCTAAATCCCCATTGTAATGGTATTTGGAAATGGGGCTTCAGGAGGGTAATTAAGTCATGAGGGTAGAGCCTTCATGAATGGGATTAGTGCCCTTATAAGGGGATGAAGAGACCAGAGCTCTCTCCACCATGTGAGAATACAGTAAGACTATAAGGCAGTAAGAGAGCCTTTACCTTTACCAAAAACTGGACCTGGCAACCTGACCCCAGACTTCCAACCTCCAGAACTATGAGATATAAATGTTTGATGTTTAAACCACCCAGTCTATGATAATTTGTTATAGCAAGCTGAACTAAGTCACTCACCCACCATCTTCCTTTCATGATGGCTGCTCTAAGACTTTAAATTTCTATGGGCAGGGATGATTCCTGTTCAGATTAGCATTCCAGGTACTAACAAAAGCCTCCCAAAGAGTAGATGCTCAATTATTGTTTCAGAAAAAAATAAGCCCCTGAAAACAAGGTCTCATTTATCATGATTTAATTTCTCCTACATTCCTAAATAAACTAAATATATCTAGGTGTGTATATGTATGTATGTATACATATATATGTTACAAAATAACAGACTAAAATTAGTAAGTGAAACCAACAATTTATAATCTTTTATTTTTTCTCCATTTCTTGATCCTAACTATTACAATGCTGAATTCTTTTACATTTCCAAGAAAATGCTTAATTTACTGCCATACAATCTTATTTCAAATCACTAAGTATGGTGGAACATTTCCTAATTTGTTTTACAAAATAATAAAACTCTTACTCTTAAATTTGATTCACAGCAATAAATATTTGAATAATGTTATTCATAACCCCTTATATTTTGAAGGTACTTAAATCTTCTAATAAAAATAAAAATACTTCTAAAAAAGTATTAGCAATACAGAACAGAACAGGCAAATAAACATGTTATACATTTTGTTGTCTCCAGCCCCACCCTGACCTTCCACTACTTAAAATATGGAATTTTCTTTTCAACTATAAAGTGAAGAATGCATCAGATTCTACTAGGGGTGGGGAAAGCTGCAGGACATGGCCCTGGAACGTGCACTGGCCATAGCACTAATGCGAGCCCTGGCTACAACTCTGGCTTGTGCTCTCTCTTCCTCATCTCTCAAAGCCTCTTCGTACCAGGTTGAGAAGGCACTGGGGAAGGTATCATGGACCTTGGCTAAAAACTCAAGGACTTGCATCTTGGTGGTTTCAGCATAGGCTCGTGGATGCCACAGGAATTCATAACGTGGAGGATCACTGTTAGCCACCTGCTGATACACAAGGTAATTTTCTTCCACCCAATCTTTGGGGAGGAGCTTCCTAGGTTCTCCAAAAATAAAATGCATCCTCCCCTCATATAACCCCATCACATTCAACATTTGCCAAATTTCCCCCTCAGTGGCACAATTGCCTTTCGTGAAGATCACACCCAGGACAGTCATCAGAAGGCCAGTCTTGGGTATACCTCTGTCATAACTCATCATTGCATCATAGCTTAGATACAGTTTGTTGATAAGGACATAGATGTGCCTATTGGGATCCACTTCCTTCATGTCAAGGCCAAACACCGTCTCCAGGTGCCCTGCAGCTCTCTTCAGGATCTCATGGAAGTGGCTCTTGTGCATTTGGATTATATTTCTCACCATATCTACCTTCGTAATTTGCTCTTTCAATTGATACTTGTACAGCAGGTAATACACCAATATAAATACCTTCTCATCTACATGGTTTCTCTGCACATACTCAGTGGCAGGCCGAGCCTGCAAGGATCTTGGTCTTTCCCCTGTTTGGTTGTTGACGGTTTCATTAGATCTTATATATGAAACAGCTGCACCAGTAGTGGTGGCTCTCTGAGGCCCCTGGGGATTTCTGGTGGTCCCCGAAGCAGTTGATCTCTGGGGAGTACTCTGGAAACTAGTAGAGGAAGAGGAAGGAAGCCCTCCTCCCACTCCTGCAGTGGCCTGAGCACCCATCGGATCCTCGGTTACTTGTCAGGCCTGACGGCATTTCTCACGGGCACGGAGCTTACTCTTCAGACCCTGCGGCATGATGGCTTTAGACAGGGGGCAGTGGGCAGGTAGGCAGGTGACCTCTGTGACCTAGAAAGAGGATGAGATAGTTCGGCCACTTCAGCTGGGAGACACCTCCTTGGCTTTATTAAAGGTTGCCTCTGCAGTTTTCCTTGAAGGCACTGCTCTAGGAACGCACAAGGCTCCTATCCCCCAATCTGCCTATTCCCTAAAGACCCTGTGGAAATAACTAAGGTATGCCTTAGGTTGCAGCTACTTGCCAGATCTGCCTGCGGCTCAATGGGGCTTAGAGCAATGGCTCCGTTCTGGGGTAGGAGGTCTTTCTCTCAGTTCACATTAAGGGTCATCACCTCCCTTCTGGAAGAACCTGGGGTCCTTCTGATTCTGCAGTCCCCACCCCCTGGGCTGAGGCCCAGTACCAGTCCATAGCCTGTTAGGAAATGGGCCACACATCGCCACTTGAACTCCACACACACACGCCCACCACCCCCACTCTCCTCTGTCGGTGGAAAAATTGTCTTCCATGAAACCGGTCCCTGGTGCCAAAACGGTTGGGGACAGCTGCTCTGATCTACTGCTTTGATGCTGACCCCTCATTTCAAAGTCTTCACTTCTCTGTAACCCCAGAGGATGAACTGAGGAAACCTCATGTGACCACACCTGCCTGGAGACACGGAGGGATGAAAGCACAGGCAGAGCTCTGTGGGACTCTTTCTATCCAGGGGTGATTAGTATTCTCAGTCCTCACACCGTTTTCTTGCTTTAGCTTCTGCTAGGGGCTGGAACTCTTCTCTCTGCTGACCTTAGACTATCTCCTTTGAGCGAGGCCCCCTACATCCCTGAAAGCCCCAAAAAGAATGTTAGGAAGACCACAGCCTAATATATCTGCTCCAGGTTCACCCAGGTTTGAAGGCCTGGATAGGACTCTGGGACCTCTGCTGTTCTGAGGGGCGTGGTCCCTTCAGGCCACGCTTGGCGTTTGCACATTGATTGCCTCCTCTAATGAAATGAGCCTGCCCCTCTCAGACCAAAGACAGCATCTCGTTGTCCCCACCCCCACCCCGAGGACAACATGAGGGCATGCCTTGCCTCACAGCCTTGCCCAAAGCGTCGCTGAGCTCACAGTGGGGGTGGGGCTTGGGGAACCCCGCTTTGTTCAGGGTGGGTGGTTCCCTAAGACTGCATTTTAACTCTGAGCAGAGCCTGGGGGTCATCCCTTTGCTGACTTGTCTGCTCCCATTCTAAGGCATGTACTTCCCTGCGACACTTCCCAGAGGCAGAAATCAGGGTTCCTCACATCAACCCTCCTTCAGTCCCCTCTCGAGACCAAAAGCGTGGGCGGGGCTCTGTGAGGGGCCCTCTGTTCAGAGAGGGATTCCCCTCAGACCCTCCCCAGGGTCTTGGCCTTTATTCCCGTTAGAGCCTGGGAACCCTCCCTCTGCTGGTCTGAGCCAACACCCTGGTCCAATACCCTCACCCGCTCAGTCTCCTCAGGGGGGTAGTTTAGAAGGTACTCAGAGATCGCTACATCGGACAGTTCCTGTTGGGGTTCTGGCAGAGCTGAAAGCGGGGACAGAACTCTCTGGAAGTCCCTCCAGTCTGAGGTGGGCAGTCCCCTCACAGCTAACTCAGGGTCTTTACCTTAATTCCAGGCAGTACCCGGAGCTCCTCCCTTGACGAACCTGATGCCGACCTGCTCACGGCCAAGGCTGTCACTTCGCTCAGACAGCAAAGGCGGAAGTCAGTGTGCCTGACCGACGTCCTTCCACCTCCATCTGGAGCCCCCCATGGCTGACAGAAGAGGCGGGGCTTCGCGAGACACCCTCCGTTCTGAGGTAAGGGAATCGTCTCAAACCTCACTCAGGGTTTTCGCCTTTCCTCCTTTTAGAGTCTGGGAACCCTCCCTTTGCTGGTTTGACGCCAACACCCTGGTCCAACGCTCTCACCACCCCCAGTCTCCTCAGGGGAAATTTAGAAGATACTCAGAGATCGCTACATCAGACAATTCCTGTTGCGGTTCTGCCCCTCCTTACAGCTGCACACTCTGTGCCACTACTATTGGTACTACGTGCCCTGTTTTAACTGTCATTAATCGCCAGTCCCACCCATATGCACAGCCTCAATGAGGAAGAATCACATACACGGGGAAGAAATATTCTTTCCTTATTGGGCATCAAGACAGCTCTCAGCCCTGGCACATTGGCAAGGGTACACTGAACCACCAGAGCAGTGAAGAGCTGTAGTTCCCCCAGGATCTATTAATATCATCACAGGGTGATGCAGGGGAGTTAGCCATACTGTGCCTGACAAGTGGGTAGGGGAGGTTCTAAGGGAACATGCCTCCGGTCCTGTCATCCAACACATCTGCCTACTCAGATCTCTCTACAACTTACAGACTGATAACAGTGATTCAGAGATTCCCAAGCCCGCTCATAAAAGTTGTCCAAGACACCACCAGTTTCCTCACCTTCACTCCTCCTGGTACCTTCTTCACTGTATGCCAAGGTCTGGATACAGGTCTCTGACTACCATCTGCCCTGGGCTCTCTGGACTTGGTTTAGCTTGTGACCTCTCTCATGGATTGTGGAAATTGTTCTAGCCCCAGGTCCTTCTGATGTTCTTTACCAACTGAGGTTTTCCTGTCTGTACCCCTTTCCTGGAACCTGGCCATTTTGAACAAGTATTTCCTTCTCAAAGCAAAGAGACATATCAGAATTTTAAAGCATGTGCCCAGAGGAATCCTGGTACCCAAGACATCACTATAGATACCCCATTTTGTATGGATGAATGATTATGTTCATTTTTTGTTCAACCGACTCAGAAAATAGGATATAAAAATTGAAATAACAGTGAGACAATTAACTTCACCAAAAATGTTGTCCCAAATTAAAAAGTGATAAAATAAAATACTAGTGAGAATATACATTATGAACAAATTTTAGTAGTGTTCAAAAAATTTACAATTATCATACTCCTTCCACTTTAACCCAATTTACACTCTTCTACATCTTTCCTTTAAGAAAACACCCACATTTGCCCGTAATTCATTTTCATTAATGTTTATTTCAGTCTTATTAATCATAGTAACAAATGAGAAACAACGTATGCATCCACCAGTAGAAGAATGGTTATATTAATTATGGCATATACACCATTTGGAATTCTTGGTAATAGTTTAAAATGTGAGGTGGATCTATATGTACTTTTAAGAAAGTTCTTGGATTCATTTTATTCAGTGACAATGGCAAGAGGTAGAAGAATATGTGCATCATTATACACATATGTTAAAAATTCACAGTATATTTCCCTAGCACATACATGTAAGAAATAGCCTAGAATATACTTAAAAATAATAGATTCAAGGTTTTTAATTGTGGTTATTTCTAGTAGGGGATAAATTTTAAAGGAACCTAATAAGGGAGAGAAATTATGATTTTTCCTTAATGTTAGGATTTTAGCATTAAGAATATATGCACCGTTTTCTTCGTGATTAATACATTTAAGTAAAACTAACAACAGAAATGGTAGCTGTGTCATATTCAGACAGTCACTGCTAGTGTATGTAATGGAAGAAACCTGAAATACAAAAGGTTTAACATAACAAAAGTTTATTTCTCATGCACATAAAATCTGATGTGAGTTTACACAGGGTCTCGGGGATCCAGGCTGCTTTCAACATGTGGCTCCACATTTCAGCATGGGAGCTCCGTGTTTGCTACTGAATAAAGCAGAAAGTACAGAACTGATGTAGTGACTCTCAAATGCCTTGGCCTGAAAATAACATTGTTTCTGCTTGCATTTCAGTGGCTTGGTTAGTCACAGGACCCTTTCTAATTACAAGTGGACTGGGCAATATAGTCTCCCCATATGCCCAGGAAGGACAGCAAGACAAGTGGACGGAAACTTGCATTCTCTCCCATAAACTGTTACATAGTAGATGTTTTATAAAAAGCAACTAAGAAAATTTGTTATGGAAACAACCTCTTCATTCTTGGAAAAGTTTCTGAGAAGGCCAAAATTGCCTTGCAATTTGCAAAATTTTTCTAGTGCATACTATGTAATGAATGTTTTGAAATATAAGATCGCACCAATTTTCTAAAGAACAATGTAAATCTCAGCAAGGATGATCATTTGCCCCTCATCACTAAATAGCACCTTTCTCTGCTGGCCTTTGCAATAATGTGAAAAGATGAATTATTTTCTTCTTCCTCTTAGTGCATAATCTAAATCATAACTTGTGAATCTGCAACCTACTACCTGATGAACATGCCTGAACGCTTGTATAGTGTCTTTACCCACACTGAAGAGGTAGGATTTTCCCCTGTTTCTGGGGCAGAAACAGACAACATTTAGGAGAACTATGGTGAATTTTTTTTTCTTTTCTTACCAAAGCTGGTATGTCTGCCAGGGAGACACTTTCTACATAGATAGTAGGCTGAATAATTTCTCCACAAAAATGCCTATACCCTATTCCTGAAACATGAGTATGCTATGTTACATGGCCAAAGGCATGTTGCAGATGCATTAAGGTTATGTAACTGAATTTAAAATAAAGATATTATACTGGTTTATTCAGGTGGTCCCAATCTAATGACATGAGAACTTATACAAGCAGAGAACTTTCTCTGGCTGGAGACAGAAGAGAGATGCATCAGAGGAGGAAGTTAGAGAGATTTCAAGTGTGAGAAGGAGTCAACTTACAATCGTTGACTCAAAATGCATGGGTCCACATGCAAGGACTAGAGAGAGGCCTCAAGAAACTATGACAGCTCCAGTTGACAGTCAGCAAAGAAACAGGACCTCAGTCTTATTACTGCAAAAAACTGGATTCTGGCAACAACCTGAATGAGCTCAGAAAGATATTCTTCTCAGAGCCTCGCGATAAGAGAACTGCCAGGTGAAAGCTTGATTTGAGCCTCGTAAAAATCTGAGTACAGAGTCTAGCAGACCCATCCATCCTTCATACCTACAAAAATGTAGATAATAAGCCCTATACAGATAATAAATGTGTGATGCTG